ATTTTAAAGTCCAAAGAGACACTGGCTTTAAGGAGCTGGTACATCATCTCCCTGCTATTTCTCCAGCCCTCTCTGCAGACCACATTTAACATTAACACCTGTTAAGTCACACAGCAGATTTGGAATGTTCTCTCCTGGTTCCTCACTGTCATGCTTTTAGAAAACGTTTATTCTTTTGATAGAACAATGAAACCGTTGAATGATTTTCTTCCTTCCAAAAGGCTACTATGTTCCATGAACATCAAAAGGTAATTAACATGGACATGCTGGCACCCACCTATAATCTACCACTGCTTTGGAGGCTGCATGCGGATTAGAAGTTCAAACCCCCCTTGAGCTACACAGTGACACGCTGTCTTGAAAAAACAGACCCTAAATTCAAAGAGCTATGAACTGGTATCAGACTCAAAAATCCTCAGCAAAATGCTCAAAAAACAAATCCATAAATCCATAAAATTACACAAACTGATGGAGTGGAATTATCTCATGAACACAGAAGTTATTTTAATATCTGAGTATTAATTAGCATGATAGGTGGGTTAATGGAATAAAAGACAACATATGGTCACAGAAAAAGTGTTAAGCAATATTCATCATGTTAACAACAAAAAGATTCAACAACTAGGTATGAGAAATAACTTGCAAAATGTGATGAAGTACCTATGAAACATTTATGGCTCGCGTCAAACATAACTGTAAAACAATGAACACTTTCTCCTAAGTTCCTGCACAAGATGGGAGTGTCTGAACTCACATCCCAAGTTCAACTAGGAAAGGGTAGATTAAAAAAGAAATTATAAGGTATTCAGATAGAAAATAATGAAGCTTTATGTATTCCCTGTAGATGGTATAATGAAAATGCTAAGAAATCAACCCGAAGACTCAGTAAATCACCTCAGCAATACTGCAGATTTAAGACCAATATACAAAACAAATATACTTCATAGAAAAAAAATCAACTTACATACTTGAAGAATACAGAAAGAAAAGAATTCTAGTTATGGGATTTTTATAAAAAAGAAATTAAGACAAAGAAATAAACTTACCAAGCACCAAGCATCAACTGTGGAAACTATAAAATACTACTAAGAGATACTAAAAATGTAAGCAAGCCAGACAAGTTGCTCTCATAGGCAGAATTTAACCTTCAGGCAGCAACAGTTCCCAAACTGGTCTAGCCATCCAGCAAGTTCCAAGCCACATCTCTAGGTGGTTGTTTTGCAGAAAGCAACAAACTACTCCTAAAATTCCATATACAGATTCAAGAGGTAAACAGTAACTCTAATTATCGTAGGGGGAGGGAGGACAAGAATGTCTACATTTTCCAATTTAAAATGCACTACAGGGGGCTGGAGAGGTGGCTCAGAGGTTAAGAGCACTGGCTGCTCTTCCAGATGTCCTGAGTTCAATTCCCAGCAACCACATGGTGGCTCACACCATCCCTTATGAGATCTGGTGCCCTCTTCTGGTGTGTAGATATACATGGAAGCAGAATGTTGTATGCATAATAAATAAATTAAAAAAATGCACTACAAAGCTACATTGCATTGGCAATAGAATAAAAATATAGATAATGGAACAGAAATGAGGGCTCAGAAATAAATCCTTCACATGTATACACAGTGGATTTTGGGTAAAATGACAAAGGAATTCAATGGGTAAAACAATTCCTTATAACAAATGATGCTGGATTAACTAAACATCCACAGGTAAAAGAACAAGCTGAACACCTTGTTCAACAATTTAAATGTAAAAGGTAAAATCATAAAACCCCTAAATCAAAACAGGAGGGCAATCTTCATGGCTTCGGCATAGTAATGATATAAGTAAATATTAAAAGAAATAAAAAGAATGTTGATACAAAAATGTGTAGTCACAGCATACATGCTCACAGCAGCTGTATTCACAGCAGACAAAAATGGTCAACTGATGAGTAAGTAAACAATATGCTGTCCATCCCAATAGTAGAAAAGCAGTAACATAGAGGAATGAAGATACTGTTACAAACTGAGCAAATCTTGAAACAATTTTGCTAAATGAAAAATGCCAGTGACAAAAGACTGAATGCTGTATGACTCAGCTTATACATGTCCCAACCAAGTAAATGACAGAAAGTAGACACTTAGGGGTAGGCTCAGTGGTTAAGAGCACTTGTTGCTCTTGCAGAGGACCTGGGTTCAGTTCCCAGCATCCACTTGGTTACTTACAACCATCTTTAACTTCAGTTCTGGGGGATCTAATGCCCTCTTCTGTCCTCTGCAGACACCAGGCATATATACCTGGTTACACATATAGGTATGCAGGCAAAACAGTCACAAACAAAAAATAAACAAGTATTTTTAAAACGCATATACTTTAAAAAAAGAAAGGAGATGCCTACAATTGGGGGTATGGAAAAAGTATCCATGGCTGTGAGATGAAGCCTAAACAAGGAAAGACCATTAAGTTCAAGTGGGAACATCTTCTGTTTTGTGTGTGTGCATGATGCTTAGTCTTTAGGAAAATGAAGAAATACCCACATTATCTGAGACAAGTGCCAACATTTCATTTCTCAGATGCTTTCTAGGTTATCATAAGCTATACTGACAGAACAGCAATTATAAGGTCCCTTTGTTAAATCACTTTTCCTCCAAGGGCAATAACATATCCTTCTGGGCTGGGACGTAGCTCTCTTGGTTAGAATGCTTGCCTAACACATGGTGCATGCTTGTCATATCAGACTTGAAAGGAGAGGCAAGAGGATTAGAGGTTTAATGTCATCCTTGGCTACAGGGTGAGTTTGAGGCCAGCCTGAAATAAATGAGGTCCTACCTCATGCAAATACAAAGAAGACATTCTTTTAACTGAATCAAAAATGCAGATCTGGAGCTTTATGAGGAACTTCTGTACCATTTAAAAATAATTAAGGGTATTTTTAAAAAAGGAATTAAACTAAAATGCAAAAACATAAGAATTAAAATTAGCAATCCAGCCAATTCTCTGTACTTTAGGGATTCAACTACCATTTTAAATACACTGCATCTAAGTTGCATACTCTTTTTCCCTTCATTATTCTCTAAATTTTTGCACCATGGTAAAAATGTAAATGACTTATGTTATATAAGGTTGATAACTGATCTGGGGATTAATTATATATATATATATATCATAGCCATTTTATATGAGATCTTGGTTTGGTATGGTGGGGATTTAGAACCAACCCCTATGGTAACTGTACTCAGTCACATGCTGAATAATGTTTCAGGCAACAGCAAAAGCTATATATGACGGTGATCCAATAAATTACATTGGCTAATATCATAACCTTCTTAGTTTGTAAGAGTACTCTGCAACATGACAAAATTACCTAATGAAAAATAAATTTCTCAGACTACATCCACATCACTCAGAAAATTAAATTACAAAAAAATAAAAATAATAAATGGGTAAAAAATGTTATTCTTCAGTTAAAATATAAAACAAAGTTAGATGTTGCTTTTAAAAAATCAGATGCAGCTTTAGAGTTGTTGAATTCCCCTGCTACCCTCTTGGGGGTGTCTATCAAAACTAAAAGTATTCCCTGCCCAGCATTCTCCATTCTCCACGGGTGGCTGTTGTCTCCCAGCTGATGCTCCAGTCCTGTTTGATGAGTGTGGCTTTCACCTCTCCTCAAAGAAGCTTTTTTTTCCAGCAGATGGAGACCATTACAGAAATCCACAACTGGATTAAAGTGTAGAAAAGGGTAAACAAGCCCAATTGATAAATTACAATGCAACCCCTACACTTATCCCTCAAAGAAGAGTGAGAGAGTGGAAAGACTATAAGGTATAAGGGTCAGAGGACCGATCCTGGAGATAGAACAGGGAAACAGCACCCATGAAATCCAACAATGTTATTGCTAAACAAGATTGTCTAATGATACTACCAATCATACCAATCAATATGCCAGTATGGATGGGGCAAGGCTCCATCCCTATAAGGAGTCAGTGGCTGCTGGGGATGTGGGGTGGGAAGAGGGGGAAGGTGGTAGACAGATAGACAGGTCACTTTTTTACCCAGGGACAAGCCCCTGATAGGTTATTCAATCCCAAATGGTCAGTCCTAAACACAAGTACACAAGAGCATCACTAAATGGACTCAATAGGGTATGTGTGTGTGTTTGTGTACACATATAAGTGTGTACCTATGTGTAAATCAATAAAGAAGTAATGAATTTGAAAGGGAGTGGGGTACATCCAAGGACCTGGGGGGGAGAGGGAAGGGTAGAAATGATGTTATGTAAGAAATTCTCAAAAAAAAAAAAAATTCAGGGGCTAGAGAGATGTCTATAGGCTAAGAGTACCTGTTACTCTTGTAGAGAATCCAAGTTCATTTCCTAGCACCCACATGATGGCTCACAACCATCTGTAGTTTCAATTCTAGGGAATCTGATGCCCTTTTCTAACATCTGTAGGCACCAATTGTGCACATGGTAAACATATACACATGCAGGCAAAACACTAACACAGAACATATCCTCACTTTGAAAACTTACTGATGGCATTTTCCTCAACTCTACTTCTATTGTCACACGTGTAATCATCTAAACTACACAACAAAGCAACATTTCCAAACTCCCAGTAGCTATGATTCGGAATCACAATCAAGAAAACAATTCATTTCTGGATAAGATCTAAAAGTTACCATACTTTGTGAGGCTTCAAATAGACCGGCATGTCTCTTTGAAATCATGGTTCCAAGTAGTAAAAACTTTAGTCAAAGAGAAGGGCACAGGGAAGAGAGATAGATGATGGAAACAAATAGGAAATAAGCCAAAGTAAATTGATCAAAGATCTAGTCATTTTAAAAACTACTCAAATAATGTGAAGTCTCAGAAAGGAAGAAAAACTTGCTACACCAGAGGTGCCTTCCCCTTTCTGATAACCTGGTGTACAACTTACAGAGCCAAAGGGCTTATGCCAAAGAAAGTGCCATCCACAGCTCTGCAGAGTCACTTTCCTATCGGATTTAACTGTACTCACGTCAACATCCTCTTCGGTAAAAGTTTCCGGGTCCTCTCCCATCATGTTGGCTAAGTGCCTCTTCCCTATGTTGAAGTCTTCGATCTGCTTTTTAATAAAATCTTCTGTATATGATTCCTGTCTTGAGGCTTGGACATTTTTCTTTTTTGTTACAACTGTGGTATGTATTAGCTTTAATAGCTAAGGGACATAAATGGAAAGAAAAGAAAGTTTTAAGAAATTAAACAGCAATTTAACAGGTCACTGTCTCTAATAAAACATCCTCAGTCAACAGGCATTCAGAAACAAAGAAAAAAGGTCTTCCAACCAAGGTTGAACTAATCATCTCTGCTCAAAACTTACAAGTACATTAATCCAGGAGAATTTTCTGTCTCACACACATTAAAAATCCCCTTCACACAAAAGCCATCCTCCCCACATTTTTCTCCCTGCCTTCAGAGAATCTTAAATTCAGAACATTCTACAGTAATTTGCCACTAAGGTTGCAAAAAAAGAAAGAAAGAAAAGAAAAAAAAAAGAAAACATTACAATACCCAATTAACAGTAAAACTTACATTCTGAACTGCCTCTGAATTAATAAGAAAAAAAAAAGAAAACATTACAATACCCAATTAACAGTAAAACTTACATTCTGAACTGAAGCTGAATTAAGTGGGTAAAAACTACTTTAACCTACTCTTTAATGGGTAAGAAATAGCAATTTAAAGTTCCATAAAACCTTAGTTTATTTTTGCTAGGAGAGCAGAGCTTCACCTTTGAAAAATATAATTACTCAACAATTATACTCTGGTAATGCATTGCTTTACAAAGTGTCATCAATGAGTAAAAACAAGACCAGTGGCTTAGGTTCACAGCAGCTCCTCTTGTCGTGTTCTGCTTTTCCTGGTTTCAGTTACTTGAGGATAAAGGATGAATGTGATACAGCTATTTTGAGATGGAGACATATCCACCTAACTTATATACTACTATAACTGCTGTATTTTATTACTAATTACGGTTGTTTAAGCTCTTATTGTGCCTAATTCATAGGATAAACCTTATTGTGGCTATGTAATGGGGAAAGCACAACACATAGAGAGCTGGGTACTGGCTGTAGTTTTCAGCATCCAGTGAACTCAAAAAGCATCCACTGTGGGAAGAGAGGCCTACGAGAGACAGACTACTTTAATACCCTTGCTCACAGTCTAGCGCAGCCATTTCTCCAATCTAGTTTAATCATCTAATGTGTTTAATAGTTTACATATTCTTTTAGCTGGTTGTGTTTATGATTCCAGATCTAATTTCAGCCATGGAGAATATTGTTTCCTATGCAGGCAATTAAAAAAGAAATGCTTTTCTGCTTTAAAAATACAGGCAAATGCATGAATTTGAAGCCCAAAGTACAGCAATACAATAGATTATTATTTCAATGGTCTCAATACCAAATGGATCCACCCACAGTGCAAGCAGATGTTTTGACCATCGTGAGGACAGTGCACTCAAATGCAGTTGAACCTGTGATTCAAACCAACCGAGAAGACAGTCTCTCAGGTTACCCCCACTACACTTCCCAGAAGCCAGCATCAAAGGCATTAGATCTGAGCCTCAGATAAACAGAAGTCCATGCCCTGCAGTAAAGGGTTCTAGAGGGACACAATGAGGGACGGAAGTAACAGTCCAACTGCAGGAAAGATAGGGAGAGATGTCTGATGAACATTCCAGGAAGCAGATGGCTCTGCGGATATACACAGGGGAGATCTGAGGTAGAGGTATGTGTCTATTAAAATCTACTTAAGTTGGGCATGGCAACACACACCTCTAATTCCTATTTGCAGGAGGATGTCAAGTTTGAGGTTGGCCTGAATTGTAGTTAGAACCTATCTCAAAACAAATAAACAAAACTTGGCTGGAGAGATGGCTCAGTAGTTAAGAGCACTTGCTGCTCTTCCAGAGTGTTGAGGGCTAAGCTGATCCCTGAGACCCTATTGTATGGAGAAGAAACATAGCTCCTTGGCAGAGTCAGTAATAGCCTGGGACTTCCCAGGCCGATGTATGGAAGGAACATAGTTCCTTCTCTAAAACCAGGAATATTCTTGGCTGAGCCAGTAATGGCCTGGGGCCATTGAAGAGCTGTGGTTTCAGAGCCTGAGAACTCAATTCTTCCTACCCTAAGGGCGATTGGTTATCAATCCCAAGGCCTCCTTTCTGAAGTCCTTTAGATATCCTGTGTTACCTTTGTGCAACATGGTTCAATTAGCTTCTGTTCCACTGACTTCTGTCCCATAATACTATGTTGGGTTTTTGCTGACTCTGTCCCATTTTCCCCTACAAAATAGTATGTAAGAAGCTGTTCTTCTTAATAAGCTTGCTTGGCATAAGACATAGTGTATTCAAGACCTCCTGATCTCAAACTTTTCTATCCCTTAATCTTTTGAACTCCTGGTCCTCTCTCAGGAACCTGTAACTAAAGAAAGACCTGTTGGTCCAGGTCACAGAGGACCAGAGCTTAGTTCCTAACATCCACACCAAGCTGCTCACAAGCCCCTGTAACTCTGGCTCCAGCGGACCTGACACCCCCTCTGGCCACCTCAGGCACCCACATACATGGCATATCCCCACAGGGGTACATAAATAAAAATAATGGTGCTTGACAAATAATGTTCATATACTTTGGAATATGGGAAATGGCAGGCATTAATGAACGTTACAGAAATGTAACTCTTCCATGTAAAGAAACAGCTGATAGTCAAGGGATCATGGGCAGAGAGGTAAAATGCCTTATGACTACTGCTTTCTTTGTGAAGTAGATGAGATGGTCTGTGATGATTAAGAGGGAAGGAATGATGAACCAAATACTTCCCTTTCAGAAAGCAGTGATATAGAGAAACGACAAGCAAGTGTTCACACTGGTGTGAACCAGAGTTCCATCCATACTGTGCTGTAATAATTTCTTTGTCACTCATCTTTTTCCATCAACTTGTATGCTGAGTAGCTGAAGAGAGCTGCATGCGAGGGCACACGGTACCCTTCAGCACTAAAATGTTTCCCAATCTTTTGAAGGACTTTACCTTGAATTTAATTTGGTTGGATCATAATGCAACCTTGTCAACCTTCTACTTACAATGCCCTGGAATACTAATGCCTGTACCTTTCATTTAAATTTTAGGCCACTAGAGAGTATTGTGTGTGTGTGTGTGTGTGTGTGTGTGTGTGTGTGTGTACATGTGTGTAATCTGAGTTCTCAGTAAATGAAAATATCCTTTTTACATTGGTTTTAATAGCTGCTGTCTCATCATTCATCTTTACTTTTTTATGTTTTATATCTATTTAGGAAATTAGATAATACCCACTCAGTTTTCCCCAAATATTTTGCACTTGAGTCATGGCAATGATCTTTTCTCTATATAAATTCTCCCAGACTTGTTACGATAAATCTTTCCGCCAAAAGCCGCCTGAGCCCCACCGCCATTTATCGTAACACAGACTATTCTGGCCCATTGTTTCTGCCCTCTGTGCAGTGCTTAAACCTTCATTTCTAAGACCCTTCCACTTTCTGCAGTATCAGGTCTACTTCTGCAGCCACTCTAGGTTTTAGCTTTATTGCTGGTCTATCTTCAAACTCCATGCCTCAATAGCTTCTCTTAAGCATAGCCTGTCAGGCCCCTACTCACAGAGCTCTCCCTTACCCAAACTTCCTAAGAATGTCCTTGATAATGTGAAATGGTTGTGGTAAAAATAAGATCTTTGTGTGTGTGTGTGGGGGGGGGAGGGTCACTTCTTATCTAGAGAGGGACGGAACATTCCAAAGACCTAGAGGGTAAATGAAACCACAGATAGCTCAAAATCCCATCTACTATTTCCATATATGCTTAACTTCTACATAGTAGCACAGTAGGTTAGCAACAGTAATTCACAATAATATGGACAAGTCTAACTAATTGCTGTGACAGAAAAAAGTTCAATGAATGTTGTCTCACTACTGAGAGTCAAGACTTTGGGACTGAAGCTGACCACAAAGAGTTGAAACCACAGAAGGGAAGAACTGCTGTTCTGCTTCCACTCTGTTATATGAACATCCATTTGTAGGCTCTTCATCTATCTGGGCCGCTGTTCTTTTGTTTCTTTGGTTCCTACATTTTAGCATCTTCTCAAGTGAAAGAGTTGATTATTGACTTGAAGGTTTGTTTCCTCACTTGTCAATCATAATCTCTGGAGTTTGTGACATGAGATGACAGTTTTCCTAATTTTAACGTGAGGCCTAAATATATTTACAAAAGTTTTTACTGTTCATTTAAAAAAGACTTTTAGAGATGTCCCTAATTTGGAACTTTTTTTTTTTCTTAAAGACATAAAAATATGATATCCTGAGATTCCCAATACTGGTTGTAACACAAGACACAGTCCAATAAATACATTCCTTTTTAAAGGTTCTGAATTATTCCAGCAATGAGTGAGTTTACATAAAAACATGTATTCTGAATGGAGTCCACTAATCATTGGTACAGTCTATTGAGGTGAGGCTGAATGAAAAACAAATAGCTTTTTAGCCAAACACAGTTCTAGGAGAGAATTTCTTTGTACCATGAAACAGAATGGGCTACAGGTTCCATCCCCAACTGCAGAGCTATGATGCTAGAATTTTCATCAGAGTTTTGTTCAAGGAAAAACATAGATACAACGTGACAAATTTGTTTCTTTTTAAAGATAATCAGTGGGTCAGACAACTATAATTTCAATCTAGTTGGCTGCCAAAGAGGCAGACACATCCTGACAGCTATGATGTCCCAAATTTGGCCAAATGCCAGTGTCAACATTACTTTAATAGTATTATAGCAGTATTAGACAATTTCTTTTTAGTGTAATTGGATAAAAAGAAGACTGTGCTGCTACTTTGAATAGGAAAGGTGAAAAAATACTTTAAGGAATTTTTTTTTCTTCCGGAGACAGGGTTTCTCTGTGGCTTTGGAGGCTGTCTGGGAACTCGTTCTGTAGACCAGGCTGGCCTAGAACTCACAGAGATCTGCCTGCCTCTGCCTCCCGAGTGCTGGGATTAAAGGCCTGTGCCACCACAACCCAGCTAAGGAATTTTTAAGAAGGTAAAGACTGAGTTCATATTAGAGAGAAATGTGAAATTAGAGGAAAGATACTATACAAGAACTCCAACTGAGGAATCTAGTTGAATAGATGTATAGATGTTTCAA